TGAGTGATTGTGACGCTTCAAATGGAATACGTGTCAGTGCAATGCATCAAATGTACAAACAAAGAACCATTAATGGAACAACTTTTCTCCCTCCGCCCCATTTTCTCTCTCCTTCCTCTCTTCCTGTCTCTCTTTTCTGACCAGCTTTTTCGGTTGGAAACAATCGAAGACGTACTCAAGTCATCTTGACAGCCCATTTTCGATAACGCTGCATTTGTCATAACTCATACCATTAAACTTCAGCAGTATATTTTCATTTGCGAAACATATGGCCCCAATACTGGGCACTCTAAAATGCATTTATGTCATGTGTTTTGAAAGGATTGTTTTACATTAGCAGAAAATGCCCATGTCACATGTTTTCCCCCTACGTTTTTTGGCAGAGGCAGAACTTCGCAAAAACAAAACATCAATTCCAGACGATATATAAATTTTCATTTTCTTTCAAATTTAACCAGGTCTACCCCTGAAAAGAGATCAAGATGAATGAGTTAATCGCGTTTGACTAGACCTCAATATTTAGTTTGGAGTACAAAGTTGTTGTCTTTTTCCATTAAAAATCCTTTCACGGGTTCAGGAGTCGAATTTGATGTCGCGAGATAAAGGGAGAGATGCTCAAGAATCCACCTCGACTTAATAATAGGACCTATGTCTAGGGACGGCTTGTGATACGGCACAGGGTTTTCCCGCGGGAACTCTAAGCGCGGGAAAAGAAATGAGGAAGAATCCTCGAAAAATATCATAATGGCAACTTAACGAGCCAACGTCATAATGCGAAGGAATAAAGTGGGTCCCTGACTTTTCCGTCCATCGTCCATCCCGGTGAGGAGAAGAAAATTGGGCGAATGAATGGTTGTCTTCCTGAAAACCCATTAAGAAAATGTACACAAGTAGTCAACGTCCATATGCAAAGAGCTGGAAAATGCACCCTCCAGCAACATGCCAACTTTGAAGCTCTTCAAAACTCCTTATGGGGTTTTTATTAACTCGTGGTAATGCATCGCAATTATGATAATGGTTTGGAAATCAATACGAGGAAAGATGACCCAACACAGGCTACATATCTCGACGATAATAAACGCGAGTTGGGAATGACTGTACAGCAGCAGAGAAGAGAGAAGGGGGAACGAAAGAAGATGGAAGGGCAAATGGGAATATAAATAACAGCTAGAGAAGAGTAAGGTATGACGAGTGGGGCTGCTAGAGAAGAGTGTTTACATTCCAAGTGATGCAAAGAAAAGAAAAGGCTTGCCATGCCTCTCTTTCCTCTCCCAGCTTTTTGATGGATCCATTAGGACTACGTGGCTAATGGGTGCACAAGTAGGGCGAAAAAGCCCTCTTGTACAGAGAGGGTGCCATTACTGCTGCCGATAAGTGAGGTGCACGATAGAGAGGGGTTCCTCACTAAATTGGCTCGGGTGCACGCTGGTTCGAGATAAGTACGCTCTCTAGTTCAAGTCGGTATTAGGGTTTTTGTGGTGAATACATTTCTAGGTGAACCTACGCAAATGTTGTCGTTTGCCTGTGTCTGCATTAGAGCGACATGTATTCCACGGACAAACTGAATGGGCATGCAATGTACAGGATAGGGGAACAGACTTAGGAAAGAAAATCCAATTATGTGCGCACATTGCACGATGCGCTCCACTTTGCTCTGAACATGACGGCTGACCATTAAACACAGCCACACATTCACACGATAAGAAAGCTTGAAATCCCCTTTTTTAATGTTAAAAAAACCTCATCTGAAGGACGAATACTTTATGTCTCTATAATAATTGTGTCACACTTTCACTCTGATGCTCTCAGTTTATTACAAAATTATTGATTTAGTAAGTAGAGTTAAAAGAATTATAGATTATACATGAAACGTGGTAATTCACTACCTGATTTAACAGCATTCTTTAAATATTATTCAAAACTTTTCAGTATCTACGATAAAATATTTGTGATTTTGAAGTACATTAAATTAGTTCACGGGGTTGTGGTGCGGCACGTAATCCGACTGAAAAACTTAAACGCATCATTCTCGTCGACTTCATTCATACGATTTCGATAAACAGATGAAGACTTTGAGCAAATATCTGATGGATTATTGAATTACTTTCACGTATTAATGATGGAATGTAATCTCAAATCCAAGAAACTTTTGAAACTTTTGAAAGAGTCAACTCCCCCTCTCCCGCTCTGTGACTCCACACCTGGTAAACACCTTCATGGTGGTAAAATGATCTTATTAGTCACATTCGATTAAATTATGATGTTCGAGAATTTCGTCAATAATCACAAGTTTTACGTCGCCTTCAATATGTTAGAACCATTCACATTAAGTAACTGATTCGATTTGGGCTACCAATCAAATTATTCGTTATCAAATCATCGCTAAAGAGACATACGGGACTACGCGTCGATCTTTCTGGGGCAGCTTTATTTCTAAAAGTCAACGATAACATGATTCGTAGCCAAATTGCCATGACGTGTAAATGTTTTCACGTCCTTTGGCCTCAGCGTAAATGACTTTAACAGCATGATGCTTTCATGGGGAGATACTTTGGTTAAAGATGATCAACTTTGCAAGATTGCCATGTCATCCACGCTTGAAAACCGCTCATAATGTTGGGATAGAAACATAGCCGCGTTCCTATACGAAGTCTACATCTGCGCATTATGGATACATGGACAAACCCACCACCACCACCAATACCACCATGTCAAGACGCTCTCCATTTGATCTTCCCGACGCTTCTTGGGAGTGAAACGCATGGACGTCTTAGAGACTGATCAGAGGAGAAGCGACTTAATTAATTAGTCCCCCAACAGGATCCACTGTAACTTGATTGATTAAAGAGTGCATTAGATTAAGGGTAAGACATTTCACAGACAGTCATACATTCTGAGATACCATCCTGTCTCTTTACGCACTTGCCATCTGTTCTACTATTGGATGCACCCGACACTCTTTTCTCTTTTCCCGCCAAAAAGGTCTCATACACCCACACTCCCAGCCCAAGATCCATTTCAGAGTCGGCAGAGCAATCCTCCTTAAATTGACTTAAATATGATGAATGTACCTTTCTTATCAAACGACTGTCTCCAATATTATTCTTTAAAATGGCCTACATCGTAATCCCTGAATAAACTATGTCTACTCTGACAATCTCTGCTTACAGTTTTCAGGAATCGTTATATCCTCTAAATCTCCAATACTTCCCGAGTTATTGAAAATGCCTCCACACACTCCAAACCCAGACTTTCATTCATGATTCTTGTATCAAGTTGCAAGTAATTGGCTGTCGTTTAACCTGACTAAAGAGATCACTATTCGAACAAACCACCATTTATCTCTTCTTCCCCAGATTTCGGAAGTTAAAGGGAAACCTTGGACATTGGATACCATGAACTTTGCCATGTCTGCCCGATGATTTCATTGGTTCATCGGACATAGGCGTCTTTACAAACAATATCCGGGGATATAACGTGTCGGCTATACATAAGTCAATCCCACGCAAGCTCTACAGAACAAGGTTACAATAAAACAATGGGATCAATCCACCGCTAATATGTTTATGTTGATTCCACGAGTTCATAATGTGGTGACCCGTTACGTGCCTCTTATTCCACTTATCACAGAGCAGGTGAATTTTTCTAATTTCTTATAAATTTCCTGAATAATCCTCGAAAGATACTGTTTATTATTGAAGTACGATTTTCTACTTGCCTTGGAAAAGCGAGAGAAAAAATACTGTTCCATTTTGACCTTCCATATTTTTAAACCCGTATGTGTGATTTCGCTTTTTATTGTCGTGTTACATTTTGCAGATTTCTGTAAACTCTCATTCAACATTAACCTTTCGGTATGAAGGTGCTATGAGCCTCTGTCGATCACAAGCTTGACAAGCAACGTTCATAGCATCTACGAGACAATACAATGCAGTACGTTTCTCACATGAAAATACGGCAGTAGCCTGGCATCAAGTTCAACCAAGGACTTGCATTGACATACTAAATGTGTTTTCATTGTGGGGTAGAGAGGGAAAGATGAAGAATGGTTATTGATGCGATCCGTCTCATGAAAGAGGGTTGCAATTCAGAGACTAATCGTTGGATGAGAGTTCGTTCGATTCGCTCCGACCTGAAGAAGATGACGGACGGGAGAAGAAAAGAGAAGACGAGAGAAGAAAAGAGAAGACGGGAGAAGAAAGGAGAAGAGGAGATCGAGTCAGAGAGGAGAAGATCCGATGGATGTTCGGCCAGGACAGGAAGTGAGACCATTCAGACTGAAGAGGGATAATGCCTCGACTGGCTCCCGATCGTCAAGAGCCTCTGACACGACTCCATAATAATCTTGGCATAACACAACAAGGTGAAGCAAGCCAACTGAGATGGATTGTGATGTACATACTCTGTCTGTCCAGGCAGACTCCAGAGGATGGCAATGCCACATGACCTGAACACTAAATACGTATTTTCTGTCCAGGTCGTGTATTAGTGAGTCATAGAATGACAGACAATACCTCGCATTTCCCAACTGCACTCAACGCCCATCATACCAATGAGGTTAATAGAGAAATGGCGGAAGACAGGCCAAAGAATCGTACGATTTGGGAACATATTCCTTGTAATGCATCATCATTACGTCAACTTTAATTTTGTGTCGAAGAAAGTAAGATGAGCTTCATCTTTTCTGAGAAACATTGTTACTTTGTTGTGGTTCTTCTGGCTCTCCTTTCCTTCTCCTTCATATTAGACTTATTTTGTATGGGGGGGGGGGGGGACTTAGGATCAACGTGATTCATTTCCCGTCTTAAATGGGAATTTATTTTTAAAGGTGGATATCATGGGCTGGAGAAAGTATCGGTGTTGTGCCAAAAGCAGTGCGTAGAGTAGGCATCCTATGTAGGCATTCCCCGATCCGCGTAGACATCGTGCGCCTCATCTGCAGCAACAGCTACACTCAATCTTCCAGACAACTAGACCACCCCAAACCCAAACTCAACCAAACAATAACTCGGCCCACTCACTTAAGCGGCCCACACACCTAGAGCCACATCCGCCATCCATATCGGCTCCACCACCTTATCGATAATGTTCCGTGAAAGGTACTCACCTGAGGTAATCTTTCTTGCAGAGAATCATCCCTCCCTTCGAGAAACATGAGTGTCCTATGTCACCGAGTTGAACGTTGCAGCAGGAACACTTGAGACACCCCGTGTGCCAGAATCGATCCACGGCATGCAGCAGGAATCGATCAATGATCTTGCCACCACAACCCGCGCAACATCGTACAGCATTGTTGTTGTTGTTGTTATTGTTGCTGTTGTTATTGTTGTTGTTGTTGTTGTTCGTCGTCGGTGTCGGTCTGTTCTCTTTGGTGCTGTCCATATTGTTAGCTGCAATGTAAGAAAAAATAAAACAACCGTTAAAGATAAACGTTAGTACTGGTAATGCGATTGCATCGTGAAAGAAAAGGTGTGGAAAGGATCAGAAACAGTTGATCATGTAGCATGTACGTATTTGTGTGCACTGCAAGGTTCTGGAGTCATCAAAATCATAATAAATTTGACCGAGTCTTGGTAAAGTAACGAGCACTGTACACAGAAAGCTATATATGGGACAACACACATGGTGTCGGGGCTAGTACTACCTTGATTTCCTTGTCTTTCTATGCTCATTACTCAGCCAGTGTACATTTTCTTCCAAAATTGTTTGGCACATGTCATTTATTTGTAATCTTGAACATTCAGTGAAAGTTTCGTTTGATTCTGTGAGAATTAATTTTCTTTTTTTTTTTTACCAGAACTGGAGTTTATCTTTAAAGAAATTGTGGTTATCAATGGCTTCTACATTTTAGTTGTACGGTATCTTCAAAGAATCCGCGCAACTTTCTATGATAATACATGTATTTTTCTCACTCTCAGAAAAAGTCTTTGGGAGGAGCTTTCGACATCGTTTCATAAATCTTCGGACAACATTTAGACAATGAAAGTTGTTTGATGGTAAGGTGGTTAATTGAAATGCAAAAGATTACAAGGACAATGAAATATTTGCAATTCAGAACTAACATAGAAAAAAGGTTTTAAAAAGTAACGAACACATATTTCAGCGAATAACAAGAGTGTTGTTTTCTGTCTAAACAGTTTGTACCGCTATTTAAACCTTCAAACTATGTTTCCTTGAACATGTTTTGTTTTAATGACCGAAAACGGATAACATTAAATATACAAAGAGTTCAATGCAACAGAAGAAACAACGCTTATTATCACCAACGACTTGTTTAGACAACCTCACATCATACAGAATAATTTGCAAAAGAGATTGACCCCTATGGTTATAAAAGTGAGGATTTTAAAAAAAATGGAGCGATTTTTATTCCCAGCATCGTCTGCTTGCTTTGTAAAAGAACACTTTACGCTGCTAATGCGACTTGACTCGGATAAAAGGTATAGAAGCACGTCGACTCAATGAAAGAAAGGAGTAAATGTAATCAAATATAGTACCTGCGCACGCTAAAAGCTGGAACGTAATAATGCATTTCGCCTAATGCTTTTAGTATATGACGCTATTCACGTGAGAAAAGGGTTTGTTCCATATTTCATGAAGGCAGTTTGTGCATAAAAGGAAGTAACATAAAACTCACCAAAGCATTTTAGCGTTTTTGGATCGTATTATGGATGGAGCTCCAGTGGCTCCCCTTTTGAATTATACCGACATATAAGATCTTATATGTGCTTATCATTGCACATGTCTGCTGTGTCGGGGCTTATTTGACTTCAGACTGCGTCTGAGAGATATCGATTTTCATCAGAGTTTCTATAGGCGTCTAATTTCATAATTGAGTCGGAGTAAATGGGGCATTTAGAGAAGTCTGCTCAATGGAATATTTTGTAGCTTGCCAGGAAAACAAATCGGGGGTAAGAGGAGAAGAACCGCTCAGAGTCAACTACAAAGAGAGCTTGGGTTGGTAAGGCGAGAAACGTCAAAAGGAAAAGTAATTCACCCTTTGAAAGGTCATGTTATATCGTCTTTTCAAACACGGCCATGAAGTAGTTACTAAAGTTATTGAATATATTATTACAAAGATGAATATAGTTTGCTTTGCTTTAGAAGGGATCATAAATGTTTTATAAAATGCCGCTTCCGTTAGTGACAAGGTTTTATTTCTCAGGTAAGGAATGACGATCGAAGTTCAAGAGCGCGCCAAAGAAACCACTAAAGAAATTCTGTAACTAGCCTCTAGGGGGGAATCCACTGCTAGGTGATACAGTCAATTTAAGATAGAGGAAGCCGGGTGAGCTGAAACTAACCGAATATTTATGAAGATATAATAAGGCAAGGACTGTTTGATGGTGGTGATATATGATAGAATATTGGTAACAGTTGGACGGACCCTTGGGAGGGATGAACGGTGTAAGATAGTGAGATAGACAGCCAATTTAACGTGCCAACTGCTGCTCCTTCTACTGAAGGGCGAGAGATGTGACAGGAAGCCAAGTAACAAATCCAGCGCATCTTATTAATATTCATCGCCATCTCATTGGAATATTCATGAGGCTTGATTAATAACACGTTAAAGTGCGGGCTCGGGGGAGAGATGGCGAGAGATGGCCAGATTAGTTTCATCTTCCCGTCATGCTGGAGCGCTGAAACCGAGAAAACAAAGATAATGAGATTTGAAACATATACCGGTGTGACAATCTAATGAAATTTTTTTGCGACACACGTGCATGACAGCCAATACATTAAAGTGATACCCGCACTGTGTGCAATTCCCAAATACGAGCACCGCATCTAGACACCTACTTCTTTCTTTCCTTCTCTCTTTACATCTTAAACCATCGTGGCCAGAACGCAGTAAGCCCACCACATAAGACCAATTCCATCCAGGTAATCTCATCAATTTTACTTTATAAACTTATTGAAGTTCAATCAAAATGATTGCAGACGACACGTTGATAAGAAAACGTAGCAGTCATTATGAGGAAAGTTGATACCATTGGATGAGTTCAATCAAGACAACTTACATGGCGCACTTCACAAACGAGAAAGTAATTTGAAGAGCTTTGCTTTACGACCACCATACACTGTAACGGCTTTAGAGTTAATTTATTTCTCAATCGCTGCGGTATTACTCAGGTAATGAGCTACCTGGTTGAAGAATCCTGCTTCTCCTTCACGTCGAAAATTAATATCTCAACATGATCTGGGCCCCGCTTTTAAAGGATGTGCGGCAAACATTTTCATTTACCTCTCCCCTCTCAATCATGGCAAGATAATGCTCAGCTCGAGTGTACCCAGCATTCTGAATGTAATGAAAATATTGATCGCATTTTTATGAGATATTTTGAAAAGATTAATTTGGAAGAGGCACGCGTGCTATACATTCACTTTGATATTATTGAGGGGAATCAGGATTGAGTTTGAAAGCTTTCTCTAGGAGACAGCGTGATTTTGGAGGTTGACAAGAGACTATGGCCGTCATAATATTGTATTTGCCTTAATCAGGCATCAAAACTCCATTAGTTCTAATGAATTCGCTTGGTTGATTTATTAAATGAAACCGTAATGCACTCTACCCAGTTCGATTTGCATCAGGAGCTCCCCTCCTCTCTCTCTCTCTCTCTCTCTCTCTCTCCACTCCGATCGCTTTCTGTTCGCTTTAAGCCTACAACCATGTACTTACTGCTCCTTTCTGGAGCATGACATTCTGAACTAAATTAGTACTTAAAGAAGGGACAAGTGGCTTGCAAAGTTGCAATCACAAAACGGACTCTTTTCACGAAAATACTCGGACAGAAATATAAACCTAGAGACTTGACTTTATCATTACCGCGTTTTAAAAGACAACATAAATGTTATCATGTATCGCTATTGTGGATATGGAAGGAATTGTTTCGCCCACTGTAGGTGCAAAATAAGATTCATGGTCTGTTACTCATATCTTGCAATCACAAAACGGACTCTTTTCACAAAAATACTCGGACAGATATATAAATATAAACCTAGACTCGACCTATATCATTACCGTGTTTTAAAAGACAACATAATAATCATTATATATCGCTTTTGTAGATATGGAAGGGAACTGTTGTACCAACTAGATGCAAAATAAGATTCATGGTCTGTTTGATCGTATCACCAAAGGGGCTTTGTCTTGATTAAAGTCACACTTATCCCGGAAATGTAATTTGTGCTCTACATGAGCACGTACTTGTCATCGGATTTTTCTTCCTGACCACAGTTAATAAGTCTCATAATGCTGAAAAGATGTCGGCATACAGTACAAGACGATGCTCGAATTCGATTTGTGGACTGCTGTCTTCAGTCATGCATTGCATGAATTAAACACAACTGTCTGATTCCTTCATTTACTTATTCCCGACACATAAGCACTTCAGGTTTGGTAACTTTGTTTTCTATCGATAATTTGCGAAAGGCAAGAGACCTCTTGCATCATTATGATTATTGTATAACCAGGTATTTCTAGTTTTGAAGTCTGGGATATACAAGTTTATGAGACTTCGAAAGTTTTAGTGATTCGAAGTCCTTCTTTTTCAGAATTACATGCGACTGAACAAAAACAAAACAAGAAAAGATGTCATATTTTCGCCCAACTCTGTCAGGCGTGACTTGACCGAATCTTCTCTCAAACTAATTACTTTCATAGTTGGTTGAAGGTATACCTCACCAAACCAGCTCACGCTTCGTGATGGCGACACCTTTGGGGACAGTATACCTTCTTCAATCTTCCTATAAAAAGGTAGCGAATCAAAATAAAGAGCGTTTCAAATGCAAAGCACGATACGGTCCACGTCGATTGCTTTGCAGACGATCTTAAAACAAAGACGCGGGAACTGATCAAGAGAAAAGGAAATAAAGTGGCGTGACTGGTTCGATTTATCTCGTGTAATTTTCAGATCCTTCTATCAATTTCGGAAGTGCCGGACCGAATACGTTTCTGAGAGTAACGAGCAAACTTGAACTCGACACCGGACTGCGATATCATTCTCCGTTTTTGGAATTCCACGATACTTCACCTATTTCATCCTTGAATCTCAAACATTGACCAAACATTCTACCGATGAGCTTTCAATAAAATCAATGGAAATTTATTATCGAGATTCATCGTTATGAATGTGGACATTCAGTATCAGCATGTTGCCTTTGAAAACGATTCGAGTTTGATAAATGACGTCTCATAACAGAGTAAAGCTGTATTAATACTAATATCGGACTGTGAAACATAAATTTAGCTTTATCTGTTGTCATAATGCAGACAATCATCCTTTCCACAGTTCTAAAACAAATACAGTGTATTAGTAAAAAAAAAAAAAAAAATGTTTTTCCGAGAAAAAAATACGAATCCCAAACCTATTATAAGGAAAAATCACTA